ATTATTCCATATCATAAACATCACACTCACTATAAATTGGGAAGATTGCTGGGGACGGTTCTCTCTCTTTCCTCGATGGCCATCATCTCCAGAGGGTCTCATCCATCATTCTGCTCCTGAGGCCTACTCCCCTGCTCATTGTGACCATCACATTTTCACTGGAACTACTGTGCCATGCTCTCAGTGTTTATTATCTTATCTAGCATTCACTGCTAGGAGTAAGCAGCCCATGACTACTGTATGAGCTGAGTATGACTTTGTGTGGTTTATTATAATTGTTGATATTATTATTATTATTATTATTATTATAGTTTATTTCAATTGTTAAAATGTTTTTATCTTAACCTACGAGTATTTACCAGGGAGGGGGGCAGTGAGAGAGTGGTTGTGTGGTGTTTAGCTGCCTGCCAGGTTAAACCACAACATCCTGTTTAAGTATTTGGAGCAAAAGAAAATTTAGTTTCTACTTACTGTTTCATTTTGCTAATTAATTACTGTAGAATTTAGAACCTGAATAAAATCATAGTCAACATTAAGCCCTTACTCCCTGCAGCAGAATTCCAGACCATAAATGTCACACTCGCTGTGCTGGAACGTTTGCAGGGGACAGCTCTCTTTCCTCTGTGGTCGCTGTCCCTGGAGGGTCTTGCCCATTGTTCTGCTCCCGGGGCCGACTCGCCTGTTCTTGGTAACCATCGTGCCCTCACTGGAGCTGTGGTGCTCACAGTGTTTGACAATCTAGCAGTCACTGCTGGGAGTGCACAGCTCGTGAACACTATATGGTCTGAGTAGAACTTTGTGTACTTTATATTAATATTGGTATTAATATTAGTTTTAAAATTATTATTTCATTAAATCTGTTTCCATTTCAACCCACAGGTCTCCTTTTCCCAGTTCTCTTCCTCGGGTGGGGAAGGGTCATCAGGTGATAGAACAACTGACTAAATGGAGAGAGAAAGTTTTTTCGTGTTTTTGTTTTGGGGGGTTTGTTTTTTACATTGGTCTAGCTCTAATCTGGACAAGTAGGCTGAATGCCTGGACTACACTGGATTCTTTCCTGGAGCACATCTCCTGGTTTAGCTTTACCTGAAAAGAGCACGCTTAGGTCACTCCACGATGTGAACCTCTGTGAAGTCACTGAGGGCAATGGAGAAGTTCACTCTAAAAATCATACTCCCGATGTGAACTGAAAGAGTAACCCTGGGATTTTTTCTGACAGTGAAGACAGAATACAATGCTAAAGTGCCTCCATTACAAATAATTTTTGCAGAGCAACAAGAACAAAGCAGTTCTAGGGAGATGATGATGTGCCGCGCAGGTAACAGCAAAATCTTTAGATCGTGGCTGCGTTCATCCTCAGTGGTAATGAGACACTCTATGTCTCCATCTAGTCATAAAAATCTACGCTTATGTCACAGTATGATTTATTTTTTTTTTTAAGGAGAAGGGCAATGGTCTGGATTTTGCTGGACATAAACATAGATCAAAATTTCAGGGTAGTTCTGTCCATTTTGGGGAAAGGAAAGATACAGGGCGACTCTTTAACTTCAAATTACAGCTATAGGAAAAGACAGTATAATATTTCATTTTAGCTGGTATTTACTAAAATATTTACTTTTTTACATGATTTTTCAGTAATACAAAGTCATAATATTTTATAGTTGCCAAGTGAGCTATGGGGGTTGTCACAGTAGAAATAGACGTTTAAATACTTTGCACTTGGTTGATACAAAACAAATAAATTCTGAGAATGTTTAGTTCAGACATTTATCTTGCGTAGGTGACAAAAATGCAGACACGTGGCAGCATAGATGCAAGACAAATGTTCATTTCAAGTCTGTGCTTGAAATTTGTACATTTTGAAGTGTGTGGCATGTTTTCAAAAAAGAAAAAGGATTAAGTGCTTCATTGTTTCAAGCCTCATTGGACCTTTCATGAGCAGAGTAGAGGCTGAGGAATACTGTTCAAACAGTTGAAAGCCCTGTATATTTGAAGTGAGTTGCTTTCCAGAAGGCTCTGCTTGCTCGCTTCTATCTTTTTCCTTTATGATTAAATATGTAATGTGCCTTGGTTGACATTTTTGATTGCTCCCAATAATGAGAATGTTTTATAATACATGGCACTACAGTAAACATGGTGTAAACCATTCCCAGTTATGCTGCGTGATTGTTGTACAGATATGTGCTCTATGAGTGTTTTTTTTTCCCTAGGTGTATGTTAAATGTATGTTGAAAGTATTTAATTCGGAATTAAAGAATATCAAAGGGACACAAACACACTTTAAAAAGACTGTAGTAAATGGCAATTTGAACAATGTGGTATGGCAAGATTTTGAGGTTTCCATGTAACTTGGGTTCAAATGATGTTGATTTTTAAATTCTAACAGGTTTTATGTTAACTGTTTTGTAGTGGAAAAAAACTTAAGATATGTCAATGGTACAGACATAAGTCAGAGGTTTGGGATGATGCATGTAAGAACAGTTTGAGGATGTTGGTATACCTGGTATCACAGCAGGTAGTTAGAAAAGAGAATGACACTGATTAACCTTTTGATTACCTAAGTACTTTCTTTGTAACATTGGCGTTAAAAAGTAAAAGGCTGACAATGATAATTATAATCTGCAACAATCAGTTTACACTTTAAGAGGCCTTAGCTCATATGAAATTTGTAGGGACTACAACTGTGGTCTCTGTAGTTAAATTGTGAGGATAAAGGCACCTGTGTATTTACTGAATTTCCTTTTAATGTAGCAAATATGTTTATTTGCATTCTGTTCTACTGCAGTTGTTTTGAGGATGCTAGCAGTTTTTATTTTACATTCTCTTAAAGTGCTCTGATAAACATAATGCAATTTATTTATTTAAAGAGAAAACCAGAGACCAGAATACATTAAACTCAATTTGATTGATTAATTAATGCCACTTACGTGTGTGAGCATAGTGTGGAAGTATATGCTCCTCTCACATCTAAGTGGAGGAGGTAGGCTGGCCGCTGGATTATCTTTTTTTGTGTTCAACCCTGTGGAGGTTTCGTAGTTACTTTTGCGGTTATAGGATGACACCATTCAGAGATGAATTCCTTCTTTTCCATGTGTTCACTTATTTTGTGTGGTGCAACCCGATGAAATTATTAATGATACTCTGAATACCTAAAGAAATATAGTTTAGTAAAGTATTTGCAGGCATCCCAATGGTCTGTAGAATTGTGAAATTTAGTAAATCCTGGTAGACATAATGTGGAATGATAAATACTGCTTCTTGAGCTGTTGTCCTTTTCTCCTTACAAAGGCATCTTTTTTTGTCCCCCACTGTCCTTCAGAAGAATTACTGTGGCTTGTTCATCTAATATAAATATTTAAGGAGGATGCATTTGATGTGATGAATTGGATAGGAGTTTAAGTGAAATAGTATATTCTTATTCTAACTTATTCTAACTACTTTGTAATATAATGGAAAAGGAGGTGAATGGGGTGTTGAGATGAGAATTTTATATATATCAAGATATTTCAGGAAGTGTCATTTGAAACCTGATGGCAAAGTTTTGAAGAGTAGGCATAGTTTTACTGGCTCTGCATAGCTTATACTAAGGTGCGAAGTAATTTCTTGCGTATCTTCCATAGTTCAGCAAAGAGCTGGCATCCTAGAGGTGGAGAGGAGTGGTCACACTACTATTGTGCCTCCTTGGAGAGTTCTGAGAACTAAAAATTGTACTGCCCGAGTTGAGGTAGCCCTCAGAAGCTACTTGAAATTCAGTCTTTTCCTGTCTTCTGCAGGTGGTTCCACTCTAGAAACTCCATGTTGCCTTGTGCTCTGTTCTCCAGTGCGGCTTCCTCCCTGTTCTCTTTATAGGCTTGCACAGCTTAGCTTGATGCCAGTTCTCGGTAGTAACACTATTTATAACTAGACCTAGGACTTTTATAGCCCTTTTTAATCCTCCATTTTATCTGACATAAATAGGGCAGTGATTAATATTTTGCTATAACTGTATGGCAGTTCTCTGTGTTCTTGTATATGCTTTCCTTCTGCAGGTTGTGTTTTTTTTTTCTTCATTGCATGCTTTTAAGCTAAACTTTGAATTCTAGTCACTCGGAAAGCTTTTCAAAGCTTACATTTAGGAGTACTTAGCAGTGTCTCTGGTACAATTTCATAGAATCATAGAATCTCAGGTTGGAAGGGACCACAAGGATCATCCAGGCCAAGCTCTCAAGGTAAAAGTATCATTCAAATGAGATGGGTCAGCACCCTGTCAGGCTGACTCTTAAAGCTGATCAGCGTAGGGGAATCCACCACTTCCCCTGGAGATTGTTCAATGTCTGATTGATCTCATGGTGAAAAATTTCTTCTGGAGTTCAGTCGGAATCTCCCCAGAAGCAACTTGTGTCCATTACCACTCATCTTTTCCATGTGACTCCTTGTGAAAAGGGAGTCTCCGTCTTCTTGGTAGACACCCTTTATGTACTGGTCCATGGTAATAAGGTCCCCCCTAAGCCTTCTCTTCCCAAGGCTGAACAGGCACAGTTTTCTCAGCCTGCCTTCGTACGGCAGCTCTTCCAGTCCTCTGAGAAGAATTTCAAAAAGTAACTTTTAATTTTCATTCTTAGTTTGTGTTGAATATTTGTAAAAGTTGGAAAAATGGTCATTAAAAAAAAAGTATGTAGCAAAGAAGAGAAAATCTTCTCTAGAGAAGATTTTTTTAACTGGTTTCCTTCCTGAAATTTTAATAATTGTGAGCGAATCAGGATATTAATGAGAACATGTCTAGAACACCCAGGAATTGTATAAAGTAAAGCCTATCCAGGGACATGAAAGAGAGGTTGCAGACTCCTTTTTCTCACAATGCTTGTCTGGATTATCTGTATAAACCTTGAAAACTCCCCTGTGTGTATAATAATGCAGTTATCTTTCTTCTTTCAGAATTTTCCAAACTTGGACCATTTTGAATTCAAACGAAAGACCAGAAATTGGAATCACCTTCACATTTCTTTGAATAAGAAGCAATAATGCAACGAAGGCAGGGAAGAGTCAATACTGGACTGCTTTTGCTGCTTTTTCAAATTTCTCAAGTTGGACTCCAGAACATTCCTTCTGTTACCCTTGGGGTACTTGTACTGAATATTTTTCTTTTTCTGAATCCTGTAAGGCCACTGCCTGAAGTGTGTATCAGTGTAAATGAAGGCTTCTACAGAAAGAACTGGCAGCGTTTACTGCTTTCTCCTGTCCACCATGCAGATGACTGGCATTTGTATTATAACATGATTTCCATGCTTTGGAAAGGGATGATGTTGGAAAAAAAGCTTAAGAGCATGTGGTTTGCATACATAATTGCAGTATTTTCAGTGCTGACTGGAGTTGTTTATATGGTGCTCGAATTCATGCTTGTGAAAATTCTGGATGATCCTTCATATGGAATGAATTGTGCTGTAGGTTTTTCAGGTAAGGCATGTAGTTGGTCCAGTTTACATATATGAAGTTAATATTTATAGTCATTGTATGGCAATATTTGTTGAATGCAGAAAATGGATAGGTGTACCTCCATATGCATGTATGTAGGTGGTATGCCAGTAAAGTTATCCTGTTTTTTAATTTAAAGCATGCACTCTGGATATGAACATTATGTGCATGAGTTCATGTTCTTGTGACCAGCAATGTCTTTACCCAACAACATGAAAAATACGGTCATCCATAGAATCATGTTTTGTGTTTAGTTGCCGCTGACTGACGTCTGAAGCTTTTCATTTTCTGATGTCAATAATGCTTTTTAGGTGGGTTCTAGAAAAGCCTATCACTTTGCTATTATTATTTCTGAACGTCTTTTCTGGTACTAAGTGTACACTTTAAAATTTTTATCTTCAAATTACACATTTTTCATGATTGTCTTTAGAGTGTCTACTCTAGATTTGCTTCTGTAAGTAACATCCAGGCCCCTAATTTTGATCATCTTCCAGTAACGGTCTTGTCTTCTCATTTAGGAAATCAAAGTTTCAAGTCAATGAACTCCTCTTCAAAAAATCGGCCGTCAAATGGAGAAGTAGCACTGCTCTTCTAGATGTGTAGGATTTTTCCTTGCTGTCATTGGGACTTAGCATTAGAAGGCAAGCCCTTCTTTTCAGCCTCTGAGAAAGGTGCTTCAGCATCTCTGAGGGTTCCCTGTGGTATCTGAGTTGGAACTCAGCAAGCTGGAATATTCTGGTAGTTACTCATTTGGAGCTTCAGATATACTCTGGTCACTCACCCTTTGCTAATGAGATGTGCCCAGTTCTAATATTGACCGTTACAGTGCCTGTAGGGGCCCTGGGTGCAGCCTCTTCCCCTGAGGGGTCTGGCTGCCCGTGCTCAAGGACAGCTCTGTTCTGATGTCACTTCTGCAGCATATTTGGGGTATGCAAAGCTTGGAAATGAGGGACTGGAGCCTATGCGCGTGAATATTTGGCCGTTACTTGGGCAGCAGGTTAAGGAAGCTCTGACAGAGTTAGTGTCCATTGTTACTCTTTCTAAATCTTTAATGTTCTCAGTGTGACCTTCGGCATAGGTAATCTCTCTTCAGTTGAGGCAAGTGCATGTATATGGAACAGCTGTTGAATAAAATACGAATATTTTTCTGATAACTATTTCTTTAAGAGACAATTTATGTATATTAATTACTCATTTGCTTTAACACGTTTTAAGAGTTTTAGGATGCCTGGATTTTTTTTTTTAAATTTTATTTTAAATGGATGAAACAGACCTGCCCCTTGTTCACATGGACGATACCTGACAATACACCAGGACAGGCATTTCCAATGGTCACTTAAACTTAAAAAAAAACCCCAAAACCAACAAAAAAACCAAAGTAAATTGAACCTGTACAGACAGAATTCTGGTGAGCCAAGGATGAATTGGACAGAGATGACTCCTAAACTACACTGCTGCTATTGACTATTTCTCCCCTTTAGTAGATTTATAGTTTCTGAACAAGTCCAGTTTTATCTGCAGCAGATTGCATGAGCATGTGTATGTGCATACACACATTCCTGTTTATATTTGATCCTAGGATAGCAGTATTTATATCACTGGATAGATTAAGGGTTTTTGGTATCTTGTTTTCTATGGTGTTAGAAGGGGAGGGAAACCTTTTTCATGTTTTTATTTAATATGTCTGTATTAATGTTCAACTCTGCTATATTTTTAATGTAAAATCTTATACTTTTTGATTTGTCAGATTTTTTTTCCAGACAACTGTTTGAGCTTTCTCTTGAGAGGAACTTTTTCAAAAGCATCTTGAAAGTTCCAGTAAATTATGTGCATTCATTCTGTTGTATTGGCTATTGCTTGCATGTTAAAACAGTTGCAGTCGATTAGAAATGAATGATTATTTATTGCAATTAAAGGTGATTTATCTACTTTTTTTTCAGAAACAAGTGATTCTGGAGTATATGTAAGACAATTTTCCATTAATTCAGAATTTGAGCCTACTGTTGAGCTTCACATGTATCTGTCTTGTTTTCAGTAATTGCTTTTCTCAACTCATGGAACTTTTTAGTTCAAGAATTTTGTTCATTATTTCAACTAGAATTCCTATTTAAAATTGCATTGCTTTGAATACCTGAATAGCTGTGGTGAGTAGGCATATTAAAAGGCAACTTAGAAGTGGCTGCTATGTAAATATGTAAATATGTAAATTTTTATCCGTAGTTTCTTTTTTTTTTATGTCACTGAAAAGTATAAATGCCAGAACAGCTTAGAACTGTTGTTCTGGCATGCAACAGTATGCTTCATGGTGCTGTGAAACTGCGAGGTCCTTCAGTTTCAGTAGTAAAGTTGTTTGCATTTCTTTATTATTTGAGCACAAGTGCATCTGTCTTCATGTGATTTCTTTTTGTCTGCAGGAGTCTTGTTTGCTTTGAAAGTTCTTAACAACCATTACAATCCTGGAAGAGTCAACAGCGTCTTTGGATTGCAGATACCCAGTAAATATGCTTGTTGGGTGGAGCTGGTGGCTATTCATTTAATCTCACCCGGGTAAGTGCTTTTAATATTTCAAAGTTCGGAGAAGAGATTTGGGCTATCTGAAGTAGTTTGAAATGTGTCGTGAGGTATCTGTAGTGTTAGCTGGTATCCACATGGAGTGCTGGGGCTACAATTACGTGTCGAGGCTACAGTCTGCTTTTTTCCTTGACACCCTCTATTTTGAGCACATTTCAAAATTAAAAAAACTTAAATACTGTGCCCAGAAGGTATTACCAGTTATTTGAGGGAAGATAATGGGAGTTGATGGACAGGGAAAAGGGATGTGTTTCCAGCAAAGTAACCAAACTAATACACTGTAGTGCCAAGGCTTCATTAGCAAAACAGCGCTCCACTGTTTACTTGCTATTTCTGTCCTAGTCCCTTCTGTCCATTTCTTGTAGTCACTCCTCTAATTTAGCAGAAAGCTATCATCCAGCGTTATGTAAATTTTATGCAGTTTCACTGTCCTGCAGTCTTGCTGATCATCCCCCTGTTTTCCTGTGTGCTCAGTTCTGCCAGCACAGTTCATTTGCCCCTGTCTCTGAGAATAGCGTCTTTCCCTTCTTTGGCGGTTTGATTTCTGGGGTCCTAACTGCAAGTCAGAAATTTTCTTGTATAATATTTTATAACTGTCAGTCATACTGGAGAATATATGCAAAGTACAGACACCAAACTTACAAACTACCAAGCCACAGTTTATATACAATTTCCCAATTTTCAGAAAGATTTATTTTAAAAAGGGGTGAACGATACTGACATATTCCCCGTCAGATACTGTAACAACTGTGATATAGCAGATAGAACATTTCCTAGACCAGAATGAGAATTCAAATATTGCTTATGTTAAACACTGTTTTTATTGCTTTATGACCTGCTGCCCAATTGACTACAGCAAGGAATCCTACTTTAAAAGACAGAACTACAAAGTGCTCTGTTCCAAATGCTATTTTAAGTGTGAGCTGAGAGGTCACTTGCATGGCATTACCACAAGTATAAAACCAAGGTTTTCAGTGCATTAAAAACATTCTCCTGAAAAAGAAGAACTGTCATGATAGCTGAACATAGTTTTTATTTGTTGATATGTTTAATATTACTGCTTATTTTATTATTAAAGAATAATGAAAGAACATTATGTCTGAAGTAAAACCGTAAGCATATCACACTGTATCTGGTAGAGTAAAAACATGAATTTAGTGGTTGGGTGCTGCTATTTTTCAGTTATGTTACTGTAGAAATGTCTTTGGGGTAGAAAGTGTACAGAAGATCCAGAAATAATGTCAAAAACATTTTCATAGTTTTGTGGAAGCTTAGACTGCTGCCTGTTCTAAAGAACCTCCACAATGTTACATGCACTCTTGATAGCTGGGACAATTTCACATCACTTCAACAACAATGGAGGCCACAGAAAACAAGTAGTGATCTACAGAAATTGACATCCCAGAACAACATGTTTAATTAGTAACTGCCAGCTGCCTTGAAATGAACTGTAACACTTGCAGCTCGCAGAGCATTGCTCTTCCACGCTCATCTGTGTGCTGAGGGCCTGCTGTAATATTTGAAGTGTCTGATTAAATGGTGTCCCTTTGTAGATCAAGTTGCATGATTTCGTTTTTAATAGATAAGAGGTCAGTGATTGGGACAGAATTCTGTCCAGTCAGAAAGATGTGCAGTAAGTTTGGAGCTGCTTTAGTGGAATGATCAGAATCACCTGAGAATCCATAACCAATGAAGGATTCAAAAGTAATACTGAAGCTATTGAAAACTTTGATTTGTGTGCCAGGAGAGGATTTAGGGTTTTACTGCCATCTGTTAATTCTTTTCTTTCTCATTAATGATTTTGTTATGGGGAAATTTTAAGAGATGTGTGATATCCTTCTAATCTTTGGCTTCTGTAAAGTACGGGTATTGAGATGTAGGCTTTGTATAGCAATCCTTGGGATTATTTCTTTGATGGAAGAACAGGCACATGAAAATTTATCTTACATTTAATCTCTATACCTCTTCCAGAATTGGACGTGTGGTGTCTTAAGTCATGTATCCCTTTTGCATGGAGGTGCTTTACCTGTACTCATTGTTAAAGGAAAAGCTCCTTTTCCAGGTTGTTTCTGAACTAACTCAAATATTTGTCAGATTGACAAAGACGGCACTTTGAGGTTGGAAGCTGGACATTACATTTTTTTTCAAACTTCTTTTGCAGAAAGTTAAGAGTAACAAAGAATGAAAACAATAGGAGAATGGAAAGCTAGGAGTGGAGTAGAGTAGAGGATGCTATTTTTATAATGTTCAGAAGTGTTGAGGTTTGATATTCTGACTGTCCAGAATTGCTCTTTTTGCAGTTTGTCAGAAATAGCAAGACTTCCTATTCTGCAGTTCAGAGGATCTCAAAAATGTCTAATGTTTCTGTAGCTCACTGCGTCTCTGAAAACTGACTGGCATTTCTCTAAACCTCCTTTTGACCTGTGTTTTGGTAGGCTTTATAGTTCCTTACTTTCAGGTGTCTGATAATGTTTTCAGGATCCGTGCACGATGCAATACATAAAATGTATAATCCTTACGTGAGTTTTTTGTTTTCTACACTAGTGTAGAACTACTTAGTTCTAGCCTTAAGTTTGTTTCCAAGTTTCTCTTAATAACTTTTTCTAAATAAACTATATTGGAAAGTGTTGATCTGAGCTAGTTCTCTTGACTTTTTTATTTTTTTGAAAACTTAAGTTGCTTATTGGAATTCTTCGTCTTTAAAAAAGGGAAGAATTTGCAAGCTGAGAACTATCCCGCACAAGAACAAGGGCACAGCAACAGGTCATTTGGCAATGGTGATGCAGATCATTGTCATAAGCATTGAAAACGTTATAGAATTGTAATGTATAATAAATCAACAATGGTGGTTACTTGTTGTTTCATTTCACCTGGGTTCAAGGATCCACATGAAGTCAAAATCTCAAAGCAGATCATGGTCAAAACAGATAAACATAGTAGGAATACTGAGCTTTTCATAAAAAAACCCAAACAAAAAATGCCAAACCAAACAAAACCAACACCCACAAAGCTTAATTTATATATATTTGAAACGATAAGAACATATTTTGACAAATCTGGTTTTAAATTTTGATCATTTTGCCTTCTACTATTCTCAGTCTCAACCATGGTACAATGTCTGGTGTGAATACAAATATTTTGCATAGCTCTAGTAAACGTAACCTCATGAGATCTTTAGTGTGTATCTATTTCCCCATTTAATCTGCTTTTTAAATTTCTCACTTGTTTAATGCTTAGGGATATCACTGAGTCATCACTGGTTATCAGTCAGATTTACTGTTGAGCTATTTATTATGCTGTTTATTGATGAGAACTGCTCCTCAGGAACAAAAGGGCTTAGAATAACCAATCAACCAAAAAACCTCCAGATTTGACAGGAATGGTGTTACGGGGTGAGAGCCATGTTAAAGGCTTTCATTCTTTTGTCAAACTTAGCTCTTACTTTTCTGTGGTATTTTCCCAGCGTGTTACAAAATGACTAGCAAGTTTCCCGTTTCCATTTAAAGGAGCAATGGTATTTTCCTGTACAGGGCTGTGTAAAAGAAGTTGATTTATGCAGTCGTCTAATTTGCATTCAGGTAGATTTTTTAATACTAGTAAATGGACTGTGACCTGCTTTCTAAGCAAGATTAAATTTTGTAGCAAGTTACGTAGGGCAGGTGACTGCACTTGTGTTAATTTGGAAATAGACTATGTATAAATACATGGATTTGATTACCATGGTCTCAAAAAAATTAACTATTCAAAAATGAGTTTGGTCTAGATTCCTGTAGTGTGTCACTTTGATTGTATTCCTTTGCTTGTTCAGTGAACGCATGCTTCCTAGCCTTGGAGCAGGACATGGCATGGAAATAAGATCTTTTCACAAAAGACTGCAGCAATGGCTTGAGCTGAAGACATACTTTTGTGGCTAAATAAGTGGCTTTGTCCTGTGGTAGAATTGCATGCATAAATAATAATGCCTGCCGGACCCAGAGATTGCTTTTCGGAAGTTACGGAATTTAAGTGATAGGTGTAGACTTTCTTGCTCTGTTTTCACTTGTTGGGTCAGGTGACTGACACCACAGCATTGGAACAGTTCAGGATAAATTCACCGACAGTGTGGAAATGAGTTGGCTTCATTGTAAGGATACTGGAAAAGTATTAAAGTAAAAATTAATCCTGAGAGGCTTGTTAACATTGGGTCGGAATCATGATTTACATGTATTTACATGGAAAGTAAATACACTCCAAGGGGCTATCCCTCTAGTCATACCAGCTTTCATGGAAGCTGCACAGCCAAATGAAAAAGTGTCATTAATTCTGTTTAGAAATTCTGAAGTAACACGCACATCAGTTTGGTGGTAAATGTCTTCAGGACGCAGTGTTCAGAGATATTGCAAAATTATCATTAGTATGAAGTGAATGGCTGAGATGAGATCTCAGGGGATATCTACATTTTTAAAATAAGAAGTTAAATGAGACATCATTTGAATTTCTTTGTGCCAGGGAGAAGATTAGTTAATATTGATAAAGCTCATTGAAATTTAGAGAAAAAACATGCAATTTAAAAAGTCAAGAACCCTGGTTTTATTCCCATTTGAAGTTCATCTTGTATTACAGAAACTGAAAATTGTACTATGCAAAAAAACTCTGTCAATGTTTCTTTATTAATCAGCAGGAAAAGTGATTAGTCTGTAATCTTCTGACTGCAGACCTCCTCCTTATCTATTTCTCTTTCTCTTTTTTTTTTTTTTTTCCCCTTTTTCCCTGCTTAAGAATGGGTACAGAAATGCCCTTACAGTCCTCTGAAACCTTGCCCATCCTCAAAACAGCTGGGAAAAGACACAAGTTAACTACTTCAAAACTTTGCTGCATAGTTATATTTTTTAATTTGTTTTGGCAATGTTAATGTTTTTAAATAAAACTGCTTGATTTTTACATTGCCTGTTATCTGTATGTTTAAGTTGTTACATTTGAAAAGTATCTATAAAGATGCTTTCCATAATATAAATGATACCAAGTGTTAGCAAAAAAAGGTATTAAGTTACCACTTGAGTAAACGACAATGTAACACATTCTAAAATTAAGTGGTGGTTGCTTCGCTTGGCTGCATTTCGTTAATGTTAGGGAAGCTGTCTTTTTGTACTCTCCAGAACTGCTTATCCTTAGTAATTACAAGTAGCAAGGTGTTACTATTGATCACACTCAAATTAATTTTATGACAGCATGTGGTAAAAATTTGATGTGATTTATCAAATGTACTCATTTTCTGCATGTCAGTGGTAGTATTTATGTGTGACTGTCTATTTTTTATTTAGAAAACCCTGTTTAAACATTTTTTACTCCTTGAATATATTTCATAATTAAACAGTCAACAGTCAACAGTTTAGGCATTGAGGACACTAACCTGTTCAATAGACGTGAAGGGGAAATTACCCCTCTAAAGACTTTTTGAAGTTGAAGGTTATTGATTATTCATATTGTGTAACTATTCACCTTCACTGGATTGCAAGCAAAGACCTTCATTTTGAGTTTTGAGGAACGGTTTTGTGCTTAACACTGTGCTCAAAGTGAGCATCAAATTTGTTTAAAACACTGACAGGAATATAGGTGAATCAGTCTCGTGGTGATTTCTAGAGTAAGGCACCTTGAATTATCTAATGTTTTCTGTGTACAAACGTTTTCTAAGGCAGGCATGTTCTTTTCACAACTTTGGAAAATCTGTTCCAAAAAAAAATCTGTTTGGAAAAGTAGTTCCTTATAGGTACTTTGCTTTGGTACTACTTCCTACTTCTTTCTTCGTTTTCACATCAGCATTTGTGTGTTACTCCTTCTAAAAAGTTGGTTACTTATGGGAGAGAATCACAGCTCTACATAACAGAGTAGACGTTTGTGGTTAAGTGGCAAAAGAGTGAATTTAGATTTGATCTTTATCTCCCTCTAGTGACAAATGCCTTTTCTCGTCTATTTTTGTGAGTGATGCCTGGAAGTTGTGGTGTCATGAGCGTATGTGCTATCATCTGTCTAACTCTCCTGGATTTCTGACTGGAACGTAAAAAGCATCATGTTTAAATCTAGTTTTAGATTAACAGAAGTTTAATTTCTGCTTTATAAAGGCAAAACAAAGCTTATATTACTTGAATCTTTGGGCAACCAGTATCAATCCACTGAACTGAGTTATTTATAATTGCATATACTAGGAAATCTTAATGTTTAGCGTATTGGCTTCTCTAACTTCATAATAGAGGTGAGCAGTTTTCAAAGCGTGTTTAAATCTGGTTAAACTCAAAATATTTTACTCTTAATTAATGTTTAAACCTGATGAAACACAGAAGAGTTTCACTCTTAAATTGAATGCTGAAAAGTGGTTTATGAATTTGACTACCCCATAGTCATGGCAATACTTGGAGCAAATCTTATTTGTTGTAAACATCCGCTTCCGTGTTGACGATTTCTCAAAAGACTCTAGAGCCTTTTCATTCTATATGGCCAGTGATCTTTTCTAAAATAAACTGTTGGTATGTATAGAAGCGAATTTGGATCTCAACATTTCACTTATTCTTTGTGTTTTGAAGACATTGCGTTACAAAGATCGCAGCAGATCTGCATTCAGGCTTATCTTAGAGTAGTTGTAGGATAATATTGATAGTGCAGTAGAAAGTTCTGCATTTGTGCTTTCACTTGAAACTGTAAGTGGTTTTGGTAGATCCTACTTAGACTTTTCAGCATAATTCTGTGGATTTACTGTTTTATAGATTAAAACTAATTTCCTCCCTCAGTAACTCTTTATGTGGTTTTAGGGAAACTGTATTCTGTCCTTTAAACATGCAGTTAAGATGATCTCTCCAATTGGTTTCCAGCTTCTTCGGGGTATATGTTAGATACTTTTTTGTAACTGTGTATACTTAACAGTTTAGAGGTAGTTATGAAGAATGAAAACCTGGCATCATGTCCTTGCAGGCAAAACATTTCCCTATGCTTGATCTCACACAGAGACTTTCTTGGTTACAACAAATTCTGCACGTCTCCTTCGGGACCCCTACAAAAGAAAAAACCAAAAATCTTCCTTTCTGTCCCTCACAAGATTTTCCTTTTTTGTAGGACTTCTTTTGCTGGGCATCTGGCAGGGATTCTTGTTGGACTGATGTACACTATGGGACCTCTGAAAAAGATCATGAAAGCCTGTACAGGTATATAATTTGGTTCAATTTCTAAAATCTGCTTAAGAGACACTTTTGTTTTTAAAATTCAGTAAGTCTTGCACATAGGAATTCAGGCCGTTCCAGCAGGTTTTTAGGCAATGAAAGATATGCTGATTATTAAAGCGGATGCAGAAGAAAAAAAATGAGCTTTTTTTCTCTAATATGGATGATAAGAACCAGTAAATGTGTCTTTCAGATATTTTTACTTCGAGGAACACCCTTTGCCCTTTTAAAAAATTGTTTATTTCAAGTCAAATGTTTCACATAAGATGTCACTGAAAATGTGACTTTAAATGAAGCGTGGTGAAGCCATAAAAACATGCCAGAACGCAGTATGTTTCCATGTTGATTACTACTGCCAATAGGGGAGTGGGAGTTAGACGGGGGACCTGAGGTCCCTTCCAGACTGAATTATTCTAAGACTTCTTGACAAAACCCGTGGTACTGCTAGTGGAACTTGCTAAGGAGATCCTGCTGCTGTGAAGGTTGCTGTGTGACTAAGACCTGGAGGAAGGAGTGTTCCAGTAAACAGCTTATCTTCTCCTGTGTAGCAGAGCAGAAACAGTGCGGTATTATTCCAGTCCTCTGTTTTCTGTGCATTAGCCTGTTTTTACCAGTGTACAGTCTCAGTGCAGAAATTATTCATTTCATGTTCTGGAGAACATTTATTAGGTTGGTGTCCATTTTTCTAGTCTACCTGGACATGTTGCTTAAACACAGCACACTACTGTAAAATCTCGATCAACCTACAAGCTTACCCATACTATATTCTCTCACTGATGCAAAACAAAAAAAAATCATAGATACCTGTGGTTTCACATTTATATGTTATGAAACTGACTCTGAAAGAAAGAGTACTTTACATTTGATTTATGTATTTTATGAAGAAAGTCCGTGATTATTTTATTCTAATGGTGCATGCGTAATTCTCCTATTTAGGTGGTATGTCTTCATTCACTGTCCCTGCCCGGCCAAGGGAATACTATTCGGGTAAGTATTCTCACTCACTTACCTAAAAAATGATTGCAGCTTTAGTAATCGTTTTTGCTAATGATAGAAAGCCTATAGAGGAGCTAGTTAAGTGGAAACATATATAACATACAAAATATTCTGCACGTATATCTACTTGCTAAAATGATATCACTTCTCTGGCCGTCCTACCTTTACTTTTTAGGGGACTGTGTGGGTGTATTTTGTACAAGAGGCTTTAAATCTCAAATTAAGGTCATGGCTTCATAAATTGCTACCCTGGGGAAATGTTATCCCTTTTGCAGAAGGTGTAGCATGGGGAAAATTTTGTCTCCTGAAAGCAGCCCTTTGAACCTTGGTAAATGTGCCCTGATCTGGCAAATTTATCTGTTCCATTCTAGGATGTTTTCCCTCTCCCCTTGCCTCTGACAATGAACTTCTTCCTTTGAAAGCTTTTTGTAAGTCAAGTAATATACATGCAAAAAGCCCACTCCTCACAAGAATAAATGTAGACTATCTTCGCAGTATATAGGTGGATAGTTGGAATACTGGCACACTTTGAATGTAGCACATTTGATTCACTTCCCATGCAGAACATCGAGTTGTTATCTGTGAAGTGTATATAAATAATAGGTGGACGCCTTGTCTGGGAGGGCTGGAAGAGGAGCCAGCTGTGAAAAAGACTGTGTGTTGGATCAAAGCTAAGGGATCTTAGCCTAGCGTATCTTATCTCCTGCAGTGATTTATACTCTTGCCTAGGCATCTGCTGTAAGAACAGGATAAATATATAGTGATAGCTCTCTCAAATATTTGCTGGTGTGCAGTGGCTTGTGGCTTAAAGATGTTCTCAGCAGAAAGTTTTATGGGGGAATTTTGTCTTTAGTAGTGTGTGATAGATTTGTCTTCCATGAATTTGTCAAAAGCTCTTTCAATCAGCATGAACTCTTGTAACACCTACAACATCACAGAGGAAGAATTTCACAGTTTACTTCCTGGTATAGAATCTGTCGTTTTTGTTTGGTTTGAACCTGCTAGCTGCTAATTTCATTTGGTGCACATTTAGTTTCCCTTCCCAGAGAAGAATTAAGCTTCATTCTTTATGTACTTTCCTCATATTCGTATGGTTTTATAGACTTCAGTCGTATACTCACAACTATCTTATCTCTCTGGTTGAAAAGTTGTAGTCTGTGTGGTTGCTTATATGAAAACCATTTGATAGGTTCCTTCATTCTTACGGTTCTCTGATGTTGAGTTATGCAGGTTTTCTGTTTTTCATAGTCTTTTATAAGTGAGATTGCTTACTCTGAGCCACAGTGAGCCAAGGTCAGTGCTGCTTTAATTCTTCATGGTGGATTTTGTCTTCCATGATCTACCTCCAGTTTTAATATTTCATTAAATATTTCCCACAAGCAAGGTTATGGGCCCTTGAATATTTTTGAAGCATTTTTTGTGCAATCCCTAACCAAAAGATCTTGACCTAGTTTCTCTACCAACAACGAGCGTTGTAACCTAGAAGTACAATTGCCCAGGATTTCCATTATTCCACTTCTCAAGTCAAAAAGCACTTGATCAAAAGGCCAGTAAGGAAATAAAACAAAATCAGTATTGTGAAGTGAAATAAGATGTGAGCAATGATGGTGCAATGAGCGTGAGGTACCCGTTTCCATGCCTGACAGTCTCAGCCCAGTTACGGATGTTCACCCAGCCACAGGCACTGTTCAGCCCACCAGAGCCTGAGTGTGCTGCTTGCATTGCTCTGCATTCCATGATCATAGAGGCCAAATCTTCCTTTGGTATTCCAGTGGAGCAGGGTGGGTGAAACTGTAAAGATTTCTATTTGAACAGGTACTGTAATGGCTGATGAAGAGTTTGTACTTGACAGTTAAACTCCACAATCTATTGCAACCACTGTACAAGCACCAGCTGCCTGGAGCTTGGGTGGGTGCAGAAGACCACCCTTGTGGAACAGGAGCAGATTCTGAATAGCCCTCTACTTTTTATTTTCTAGTTCTTCCGAAGCAGGGAAAAGAGAAGAGATTTTATGTAATATTTCTGGCACAATGGGGGACTACATAGCACATGAGGAAAAGACTTTAGAATGCTGACAAGGAAGTCTGGGGTTTATTTGCATGTCTTGGGCAGTCCCCAAAGTAACTGTGCCTTGCTTTGAGTTGTTGTGGACAAAAGGGAGATAAAGGAGAGGGTTAACCTGAATTGTCCTGTCTTCCAAGCTTGGCTTTAGTTGTAAATACCTTTTTATTTGTGGTGCTAAATAAATGTCTCTAAAATTATTTAAAACTGCAATTTAAAAAAAAAATGTTACGTTCATTCCCTGTGTGTATACTTTGTAATTCTCTTTCATTCTATTGGCGGAGGTCTTATGGAAGATTTAACCTTTTGCTTGGTGTATGACTTATAATGAATTTGGCCATTTGTGAATTACGAAACCCATCTAGTGTCACAGGCTAATTAATTTTTCATTTTCTGGTATTGCTGATTTATTACTATGTGCTTCCAAATACCAATTTAAATAGAGAAATAGATTAAGTGATGATCAGAACAGATATTAAGAAACGATACAAGGAAACAACTGTAGAAGAAAAAAATCTTAAAATGTAATTTTAACACATTTAGTGACTGAATTGGGTTTGCTCTAAATGCAGTTTGTGAATAAAGTACTAGGACACTTATTTTGACTAATAGGAACTACCTTGAATGTGTCGATGTTAATCAACTGTTTCTTGTTGTGAAATAAAAGATTACCACTTTGTGAGCACTTACAACTTGCTGACAGTGTAAAACATCAAACATACAAAAATTTACGGTAGTAGAACAAGATATGACATCCTTTTTCTTTCATCAGATGATTTCATGCTTTTAGTACCAGAATTTTTATAGTCTTCATACATGCAGTTTTGAAGCCTCCAGAAAAGAAATGGTGTAGCTGAGAAAATGTTCATTCAGATAAACGTAATGCAGATCAGAATGAGGGGCATCCGAAGTGTGTACACGTACAAGACAACTAAACGGCATCCTGCAGTCAGTTTTACTTGCCTGCAGAATTACGTCTCTTCAACTTGCCGGTATGACTTAAAGGCTTCTGAAGTTTGTTAAACATATGACTATAATTCATACAGATTAAAAAAAAATAATCTTTTCTAACCAAAGAAGCTGCCGCTCGTTTGAGAAATGGCAGAATTTCAGGTTACTGGAGAATAATACAAAATGTTCACTGCAGATATATGAAAATTCTCCTGGCGCCAGTTGTATGTTCCAAAAAGGAAAGATCTGCAAATGGAGAGAATTACATTTTTTCCTCTGTGTGTCTATGATGTATGTATGTATACATACATCCGTATGGACATGCATGTGTGTATAAAATATATGTTGTTATATTTGCATAATACACCCAGAAAAATGTCTATACTCCTCTATAGAAGAGTGTGCAGTCACGCTGTTCAATTTGTCCTGCCTGCGCTGGGTAACTTTAAGAGTATTGCTATTGCTACTTGCGTTAAAGTTCTAGACTGTGGGATTTTTCTTCTGTAACACATCCTTTTCTAAGTTCTCACTTCACATTCTGTGCTTGCTGCTAATCACAGAAACTCTACAAGATTGCACATGGGGTCCATCCATCTAGTGAGATAACTGTTATTGATGCGAATAATTTGAAAATAAAGGGAAATGACGTGCTGTACTTTTATCATACAAAAATATTTCTAATTCTTTCATTTTCAAAAAATAGTATACATTTTCTATCAGCTGGAAGAAACTAGCTAATTTCTGTACTTTGATTCTTCAGAATCCCTTGTCCAGCTGTCTGGAAGAGAAAATATCACCTGAAGCTTTGTATTTGGTAGATGCGAAAATGGAGTAGAAAAACAGGACTTTCAGTTTTTCTCAGTTTAGATTTGTCGTGCTCGGCAAGATCAGATTGTGTTAAAAGGAGGAAAGTCTCACTCAATTCTCTAGCCAAGTAATTTTTGTTCTTTTAAATCCTGTGTGTCTGGGTGACGGTTGGTTTGTGCTTGGTGGTGACAATCTTTGCCCGTGGTGGGGAGGCCTTGGCTGTCAGACGTACAGGCAGCGTTCAGTGACTGACGTTCGATGAGGTCTGCGGTGCGGTGGTTTTTCCCCAGGGCACATGTAGCTGTGCAGCAGCACAATATCAGCTGTATATGTTACCACAAAAAATTTCCAGGAATCTTTTCCCATGGGTTTTGTAGGTCCAGTCATTACTTGAATTGATGATGACATTGGCCTGTATTGTTTATGGGGAGGTGAGAGACAGATGGGGGAAAGCCTGAAACCTGTTTTGTTGTTGCTGTCCTGGTGACATTAGTAAGGTGCACAAGAGTTGACAGTTAAAAGGAGCTGAGGAAATGTGTCTTTCAGTTTCTGTGTGAGACTTCTTAGAAATGGCAACTCTGACACTTACTTATAACAGTTATAAAAAACAGGGATGTTTGACCCATCTTTTATCTGTTGTTTTTCTGTCTCCTGTTACCATAATCTGGCTCTGAAAATTAGAAATTTATTCATGCCATATATTGTGTAAGTAATTGAATCCTAATAATTTTTTTCTTTCACGAATTAAAATAATTTGTGGAAGAAAGACAGCATAAAGATAATATCTGATTTCACACTCTCCTACTGAGTAGCAGTTTATTTTCTTTATTTTGTATTCATTTTACAGAGTATTATGACTATCCAGGTTATCAATACAGAACACCAAGGAGCTATTTTGATTATACGGGTGGGCTTACTGAAGAAGAACAGCTTGAAAGAGCAGTGCTGAACAGCCTTAATGAAAGAGGTAGGAATTGTATTGCATTTTATATCTTAAGTTGTGATTATACTGAGAAGGGAGTGAGGGCAGGGAGCGTAGAGGTGTATCGCTCGTTATTTATTTTCAGGTTTTGGATGTATCTTCAGAAAGGGACGAAAGATTCCTGGTAGAATTTTCATGTTCTTAGTGTAAGTGCATTTAATTATAATTGCTTTCTGTTTGATTATCTTGTTACTACTATAGTAAAAGAATTTCTTTTATAACAAAAAAACCTTAAGTAAAGTAAGTTGCTGTGCCAAAAAAATCTTACAGTACTTGTAAAAAGTTTGAAGTGAAATAATAGAAGAATCTGTTACCAATATTAAACTTTTTCTGTGTGTATATTTTTGCTTTTTATACGAATTTAATTGACAAGCGATGTACTGATTTTCTTACTCTTCACACTGCCCTTTTCTACCTCAAAGGAAGCTTATATTCTACCTAGCTGAAAAACCTAAAAACACCGCCAAAACAAGAAGATAGAATTGTTTAGAAAAAAAAATGTGGTTGTTTTTAACTAAAAATTATTAGTTAAATTGGTATAAAATGCATTCAGTAAGATATGGTTTATGTTTTTATAATATAAGTGAAGGAAGGAAAGAATACTTCATAGAATCTATTTCTCAGCTCCTAAAACTTCAAGACATCTGTTTAATAGGACTGACAGCACATTATTATAGCATCACGTGTAAAATTTACATCACAGTTACGCAAAATTTTTATACTGAAGTCATAAAGGGCAGAAATGAACATAGTATATGTTGTCTGGTATTGACATAGCGTTTAATATCAAACATTGCTATCTTTTTAATCTGTTGCATGTCAATATGGATTATTTTGGGAATTCAGCTGAAGGTTTTAGGTGCTCCTTAACTTAAGAAATCTAAAAAAAATCTTTCAGATTTGGTGAAGCTGTAAAATGTAATCTTAACAGAAATAATAACCTGACTGAATATTATCAATGACACCTTCCTTTTTCATAATCTCGGTAGTCTCTCTTCCTGGGTACAAGGAAGCATGAATGAGGAAGAAGATACAGAAGCCTCTGTTTGTAACTGCAACCCTTAAAATGTGGAGCACCATTCATAAATCTCCACTCAGAAAATTAGTTTACACCACTGTGTTATTCCTGTCAGAGAAATACCAGACAAAATATTAAAAGTAACATCTTGACAAATCATCATCACTTTTACTTTCACACCTTATGTGATCCTATTTTTTGATGACAAAGAACATGTCATGTTATCTGGAAGATGGTTTTAAAAAGTCAGCAAATGAGGCAAGATTGTGATACAAAAAGGCATTTCCAGTTTGAAAAATTCATAAACCTATTTTTAAAAGTAAATGCAGCTTTTTGCTTTATTATATTTGTGTCTGCTGTGAGAGTCAGATGGGAGGCAGAAGTGCAGAAGTGAGTAATGGAACTTAAGATATAAACCAGAAGTTTTTCTGAGGAATCGGAAGAACCAATATTGCATGCAGAATTTTCAGTGCAAAGTGTCCAGTATCCAGTAAGGTGTGGTTAATGGTCTCACATAGCGATACACTTTTCTTTCTGCCTTACCAGACTGGGCAGTTGCATTTTTAAGAGGACTGCTGAACATGCCAGTAATTTGATTTCAAATTTTGGAACCTGACTGGAACCAAGAGAGCATGACAGACTCTAGTTTCTTGAGGGATTCCCCTGGTTGATTATATCTTTTGACTTGAAGTCAATGGTTTTTATTTTTCCGTGTTTAAATCCAAGAAAAAGGGCGCAAATTCCAGTAACAATCTGCAAATCTGTGTTGGATTTTTTTAACTGCAAAATTTGGTCTCATGAGTAACAGTTTTTACAGTCTTCTTTCCAAAATCGTTGTCATGGTTACTATACAAGCAGCTCCTCGTGCAAATCTTGACGCAGATGGGGCGCTGAGAAAGGAGCAGGAAGCCATTAGTGCCAGTGCTGGCAGCCCGGATCCGGGCTCAGGCTGATGGGCGCTGTGCAGCTCTGCTCTACGCAGCACAGAGCACTCTCAGTTTTCTTAACTGCGAGATCCTTGCTCACTTATGGGGTGGTGGGATGTTAAAAGGGAGGACAATCAGTGTTGTCGCCTTCGTTTCAGACCGTGTCTCTGGGATTAATCAAGCTGCTGATTTTGACATGCTGGGTAACCTCTGAACGAGTACTTAATGCATTATACATTGTGCCTGTCAGGGACTGTCCTTTCAGAGTTATGTGCTGTAATGCCTAACGACAGTAAGTATTTTAGGCATGATAAGCATATTTATTTAGCATGAGGAAGAAAATATTTAAGGCTATTAAAGCTTCACTGGTATTACACTGGTATACATTTATTTAAACTAGTTGCAGTTACAGAGATTTTCTTGTTTTAGTCCAAAGTCCTAGAATTGTAAACTCTGGTAACAGCCTCCTCCAAGACAGAGTGACAGGAAAGGTGTGGAGGGTATCAGTCTTCAGTATTCTGGTTGGAGGCCTGTAACTAGCGGAGTGC